TCTTTTTTTTATCCCTCCTGGAAATGATATTCATTTCTAATTAAAAAATTACCAAAAAAAATTAATTTTTCATATTAAAAATTTAGATTTAAATTTTTAAAAAAAGTTACTATTATTTATGAATGTAAAATTTTTTTTTTTTTCTAGGAAAATTTTCACAATTGAGAAATTTTGAGACAAATAAGTGGTCCTTGTGTGGTTATAACACTGTTTATGCAACTGCATGTTTCTGGCACCTCCATTGAAACGTTGATGGGGTCAAAGAGAAACAAAAGAAGAAGAGAAAATCAACCCTCTGGTCCATACAATTACTCTACATGAAAAAAAAAATTTTTTAAAAACTTTTTTTTCACATTATTTAAGTTCTCTATCAATAATATATAGAATCTAGGAAAAAAAAGGAGTGCGAAAAAAAGAACGAGACACCGGAAATTTCGTATTAGATTGAATGAAGGAATTATCTCGCTTTCTCTCTCTTAAAGGCGGTTCAATTTGAGTCATCTTTTATTCCTTTACAAGTTGAAAGGATATTGGATCCTGTGGAGACTGATCAAGTCCAGTCGGAAATATGTTAGATAAGCTAATGTTCTAATGATAAGATCACTTCAGTTTCATATATAAATTTTTTTTTTTACCCGTTCGGGTAATATAAACCAATTTCTTTAAAATCCAGATATTTTTATTTTTATTCTAGTCAATGATCTTTTGATAAAATTTGAAGAAATACAATTTTCACTATTCCGAACCATATACACAACGCGATTTTTATTATCAAAAAAAAAAAAAAAACATTACAAATATCCTCAAAAAACAAAAATCAATAAAATTTTGTAAAAACAAATGGAAAATATCTGAAAACAAATGAAAATAAAATTGTAAAAACAGTGGAAATAGAAAACAAATGAAAATAATTATTTTTAAAAATATATATATGTATAATCGATAAAAACAAATAAAACTAAAGAGTAAATTTAAAAAAAATTAATTTTGATATTAACATTTTTTAAATGAATGGTTTTTTTTTCACAAAATAAACTTGTTTCGAAATTTGAATGAATAAATTGAATGGAAAAATGTAAAAACACACAGGTTTTGAAAATAAAAATGTTCCACGTGTGGTGAAAAGCATTTGCAAATTTGTCTTAATGACGAAATTTGCTCGACCTGACGAATATGAATGTGTAGGTGTATATATATCAAAAAGCAAGAAAGATTAAAAAAAAAAAAAAAAAAACGAATATGAATGAGAATAACCTGCTCCTATTTCTTTTTAACCTCAAAGTAAAATTTAATCCCTTACGATTTAAATGACGACAAAATTCTGTTAAAAAAAAAAAAAAAAAAAAAAAATCGTCTGATTTTAGAAATTCTTTCCTTTTCAATTTTTTTCACAAATACTAAAGTAATAATTCTACATAATAAAAAAGCATTTATTTTTTCATTAGATTTCCTTTATACAAAAAAAATTAAAATTAAAAATTAAAATATATAGTAATAATAAATAATAATATATTAATAATAACAATAAAAATAATAATTATTATTGTTGTATTATTATTATAATAATTATTATTATATTATATTATATTTATTTATTAATATTATATTTTATTAATATTTATATTATCATATTATTATTATCATAATTATTCAATTTGTTATCAAGAATTTTTTATCAAAAAAAAAATTGAAATATGTGGAAAAAAATTTTTTTTTATCGTGAGAAATTAAGAATAAAAAATATTTCCAATACAGAGAGTGAGAGAAAATGAGAATATTGAGATTCTCTTTTCATTTCGAATTGAAAAAAAAAACTAGTTGGTACTTATTTCAATTGTTGTAAATTGTTCAACCAAAATATATAGTCGTCTTTTTTTTGGGGAATGAACGCTTCCCCTGATAAAAAGAAAGATTAAAACGAATATAAAAAAAAAGAAGTTGAGAAAAAACGCTATCGGAACATTCTATCGAAGATCGATGCATTTTAATGCTTCCTATATGTATGGTCAGAAATGTTTTCCTTTTTTTGGAAGAAAATGTAAATGGGGATAAGTTTAAAAACGTTAATATCAGTTATTATACAAAGAGAATTATTTTCCATTTACTTTTCTATATTATTCAAAAAATTTTATCTTATTTTTACTAAAAATTGAAGAAAAAATATTTTAGTAAAAATATAAATATCTAGAAAATAATATACCTGATCTTATTTTTTTACAATTTTGTATTTTATTTTATTTTAATAATATTTATTATTATTATTTAATTATAATAATAAAATTATTATTATTATTTAATTATAATAATAAATATTATTAAAATAAAAAATTATAAAAATATTAAAAAATCCCTGATGATTTAATTTAAATTCTTATGCAACGATAAATAAATTGTTTAATTAATTATATAACAAGAAAATCGTTCAATTTTCTGAGTGAAGTTCTTTGAGTGTATTATTTTTAAGAAAAAAAATCTTTTAAAATTGAAAAATACCTACATGAACACTAAACTCTATCTATTGGAGAAATATTTATTCCCAGTTTCAAATTATCGACTGCAAAGCAGCTTACTATCTTTCCGACCAAAGATCATTTCGACTGTATTAGAATTTTTTTATTTCTGAAATACATTATTATTGATTAATTTTAAAAATTAAAAAAACAAAAAAAATATTTAAAAAAAATTAAATAGACTTATCTTTGTTGTATTGTAAACAAACAACTTATTTCTTATTCACTGAATATGTAATAAATAAATAAAAAAACATCACACGAAAAAATTGCAATTGCCGAAATTAATTAATTAATAATTAATTAATTTCAAAGAAACTAATACAGGACTTTTAAAAATCTATTATGTCACTATTTTTTTAAATTGTCAAAATATACCTATAAATGCCTTAAAAAATCAAAATTGTAAAAAATAATATTAAAATACATTATATAGACAACATATAGAAAAATTAAATAATTTTCTGAAACAATACAAATTATAAAGATTAATTAAAAATATATAAAAAAGTTCATCTCACCACGATGACTGAAAAAATAATTTTATAATTGTTAAACAAAACATGAAATGAAATAAAACATCAATAACAAAATACCAAATAATAAAAATAATTAGAAACAACATAGTGACACAAAAATAAAATACATGCATATAACCTATTATTTCTTTCACGCCCAAAAGAATTCCTAATTTTCCTACCTATAGCTATATTTAATTAAAAGGGTATAAATATTATATATATATACGAACAGTAAAAAAACATTGACAAATATTAGTGATTATATTATTAATAAATTAATAAGAAATAAATTTATTAATTTTTTATTAATAAGAAACATCAAATTTTTGCCAATGTTTGTCACTATGTTGTCAAATTCCTTCCCTGTTTAACAATAATTTTTATAGTAATTATTACTGTAATTATTTTTTATTTGAAATAATTTTTGAAATAAAATTTTATTATAATTTACTCCCGAATAATAATTATTATTTATTTTTGAAAAATATTACTCTAATTAGTAATGATTTTAGTTATTCGCGAATAAAAACAGGGAAGGGTTTTAATAAAAAAAAAAAAGACTCACCGATCGCGGATTCCAACGGAGAGTCACGGCAGCAGCAGCAGCATCCTCTGGTCCTCTTTCCTTTCCTTCAAAATTCTTCAACTGCCTGGAAAATATTCAAAAAATGGTTAAATAAACGGAATAATTTTAATAATGGTGATATAATTAGAAAATATTTTATGAAAATTAATTAACATACAATTAACTGCGACTCAGCTATACAAGATCTCCTCCAGGAGCTGCTCCGCAACAAACTCCTATTTTTTCCAAGAAAACACACACACAAACACTTATTTAAGGAAAACTTTACCTACATCGCGGAAATTACTACTTTATTATTTTTAATTAATCGCAACATTAACACAACTGCTCTAAAACTTTAAAAAAAATATCAGCACACTCTAATAGCAATTTATGAATCCCGAAGTTTGCTAGATTTTGATATCCACATCTTCGATTTAGCAGGATTACGACACAAATTCACTTTTAATATAATTTAATATTTGTAAATTGTTTTAAATATTATGCAAAAAAGCACACAGTTCAGAAAATAACGAACTTTTGCAAAGAAAAACAAATTGGCGGGAATATGAGGCTATCTCGAAACTCAAGGTCATTGTCGTATGTATACTTGAAGACATTAGAAAAAAAGTAAAAAACGCGACATTTTTCAACAAAATATCCCCTGCGCGGGATGATTAAAGCTTATAATGACACGGAAAAATCTTTACTAACAATATAATTATTAGGATTGGCTAAATACTGGCACGATACCCGTTATTGTAGCACTGAGAAAAAACACGGCGACTTTAATCGACACGAATCAATAACTTAGAGCAAAATTATTTATCACTAAGACAAGAAACACTTGGAAAATTAATAAATTACTAGCACAACACTCACTAACTTTAAAATTTACAACAATACTAGACATAATTTCGGAAAACTTGAGAAAAACACATGGATTTAACACCAAACAGCAACTCTGCTTCTCCTTTGATTTGTATCCAATTTTCGCCACTAGGTGACTCTGACATGACTCTGATATAGGCGCGCAGATTTAAATAAAGCCTGAAGTAAATCAATAATTAGATTTATATTTTTCTTATATAATAAAGTAAAAATAAATTTAACTACAAATTTTAATTAAATTAATAACACCTTTTTATTACAAATAGTTTTAACTATTAATCTATTTAAAGAAATGAAGAACAATTTTAAATCTTTCAGATTGACCAGAAGCACGGTCGTATACATATACACCTGTATATACGACCGTGACCAGAAGTGACTGTGATTGGTTCTCGCATAACCTCTCCTAATCTCATTGGTTCAACAATTGGAAGTTTAATATCTCTATGCCAATCAACTCCTAGCGGAGGGATATGAAAATATCCATAAAGCTTTTTCAAAATGGTAGCTACCTTTCTTTGTATACAAGTGCCATGACAGAAAAACATATAGCGCAAGTGTGAGTGCATTGTTAATATCAGTTACAGTGTATCAAAATTGATAAATGGAGCATTGACCTACTATAGAGAACCGGAAAATCTTCTGGTATTCATATTAAATACCGGTTAACTGTTAATATGTTAATTCAATATCAACTTCTCGTAACGTTTGACTATAGAGAAGAAAGGTTTAAGCTACTCGGCAATAGAGCGTTTTAATTAATGCATTAGTGTGTTTTGCTTCCCACCCCATCCATAGAAAACATTACTGCATCTAGTCTAAACATTTGAAACTTGAAATAGAAGGTGAAAGGTGAAATCTATCTTTTCATCACAAGTAAAAGTGTATTGTCAATTGAGTGCCGAATTATTCGTGTTTCAATTCAACATTTGCAAATTATCTATTGAATGACACACCTTTTCGTATACTTTATTCTTTCATCAATTTAATAATCGTTAGTATACGAATTTATTTTAACATGTGCTATTCCTTAAAATTGAAATTTTGTTGTTAAAACATTCCAATAATAAAGTGATTCTTTTATCATTTTTGCCTGATACTTGAACCGTATTGATTATTTTCAAACATATATTTGTGAGATAAATTGTTTTTAAAAAAACAAAAAAATGGATAATACTGGATCAGATGGAACTGGATTTCCCAATAATAGTCATCGTGGAATAGGTCGTGGACGTGGACGTGGTTCAGGTGGAAAAACAGAAAATAAACCCCTGAGAAGACCACAAGATGCTACAGCAGCAGCTCCAGCAACAGGTAAATAAATTTTAATAAATAGTTATTCTTTTGTTTTTCATAAAGTTCCAATCTTCTTTTATATGAATATTTCAGAATCAAAAAATAATTGAGCTCGACAACATGACAGATAGTTAGTAACATAACCTTTAAAATACTTAATTTTATTTTTTCATGTATTTTAAATTGACTAGTGAAATTATAACAAAAAAAAACAAAAATGTTGCACAAAATTAAAAATGTTTATTTTTCACAAAATAACAATTATTTTTACATAATTCCAGAGAGTGCAGTCAACGCCGAAGTTGTGAAAAATTCAAAACTTTCCGCCTCGGCTAAGGAATTTGTTCCTCAAAGTTATAATCCTACATTAGCTACAGGGGTAAGTCTCTTTTAATTAAAGAATACTTTAAAATTATTGACAATTACAGAAATATATGATTTAAATGAAAATTTTTATTTCTTTTTTTAAAACAAGACACAGTCATCATATAGTGCTCGTAATCTACAAGATCGTATACAATTGGCTAGACAGGGTCAATCGACACAATCTAATTATCAACGACGACATCAATCATCATCTGGCGGGCATTATCAACATTCTCAATACTCAGGTCAGCAATCGCATGGACAGCAAATGATGTATCAACAACAATACGAAGATGCTTCTCAATATCAAGGTTACAATTATCAGCATGGAAGTCAAGACTTTGGTTATAAAGATGGAGGTTCTGGTGATTATGTTGATAAACATCAGGTATTTTATTTTTCTCAAGAAATAATTTTAAAGTAATCAATTTCTGTATTAAAGAAGGAAATTTTTTTTTTAGACAACAAGAAGAGAGATTAACCATCAATTAGCGGATTATGAAGGGACGTTACGACATCTTGATCATGTAATGAAAACTTTAACATTGGATCCCGGACGATTTGATGCATTGTTAATTCGTCTTGTGAATAATTTAAAACCATATTTGGATCAACCTAGCCAATCGCAAGAAATTGCTAGTATGATTGTTCAACAGGTATGGTTTATTTAAAAAAAAAAAAAAAAAACTCCACTTTAATAATTTTTTATTAATGATTAATATATGAAAAAATGATTGTTTTAGTCAATCAACGAAACGAACTTTCGATACAGTGGTGCAAGAATTTGTACGAGTCTTGTTGCTGTCACTCCCTCTGAGGTTTCACCTTCTATTTTCAAGAATATGCTATTAACACGGTAAATAATTGAGTAATTATTAATCACTAATATATTTACTAATTTTTTTGTTTTTCGTTTTCAGTTGTCAGGAACAGACAGATATGTTGTCAACTTCTTGGCAACAGGCAAAAAATCATAGTGACATGGAGGAAAAACAATGTCACGGTTTGATATTGTTTCTCGCTGAATTGGTAATTCAAATGGAATCAGTGTTGGCAGTTTCGTTGGGAAAATTATTAGTGCAACTTATATCTGGCGTTTTAATGAATCCAACACCTAATTCTGCCAAGAATATTTGTCAAGCTTTAAAGGTTTTAAAAAATTTGAAAATTTTTTTCTATTTCTATAATCGAAAAAAAAGAAAATTTATAAATATTTTTAATTTCTAGCTGGCTGGACCAACACTTGAAAATGATTCTAGCAGCAAGAAGGAAATGGAATTTGTAATGCAAAAATTAACAAAACTTGTCACTGAAGGTCGTGTTGATTCACACGTGGGACGAATGGTACAAGGTGTTAATAATTTACGAAATGATAATTGGGGCAATTCAGTGAAAAATGAAACTGAAATAAATACTGATACTGCAATTCAACAATCTAATGAGCCTGTTTTTTATGGACCTGATGGAAATATTCTTTCCGCTGAAGAGAGTAAATTTTTACAAGAACTTGCTGAATCAACGCCAGAATTGGAAGAGTATGACACGTACTGTATTTAAATTTTATTTTGGTTTATTCCCTCCCCTTTATATTTATTTTTCACTGTTATTTGAATTTTATCCTAAAAGAAAAGAAACTATTCTTGAATATAACAATTAATTAATTGCAGTGATACTGATCTTGAGAACGAGATGGCAAAATGGGATGACGAGGAAGACGAAATTGCTTCAGCTTATGAAGAATTTTTGAATATAAGTAATAATACATGTCGATAGTTGATTTATCAATCCAGGCCATAAATATTAATTATTGGAGTGAAAATATTTATTTTCTACATAAGTGCAAGCTGAAATTTATTGATTTCTTTAAGAAATGTATTAATCAGAGGGTGTCCATTTTTAGTTATTTTTTTAATTTGAAGAGAATAAAAGGTATGTAGTGCTAAAACAGCAAATTAGATGAAATAAATGCATCAGTCATAAATTATATATATATAGGTATATATATACATTATGGGAAAACAACCGTTGAAAAATAAACCTCCTTTTTTTGTATTTCAATTCATTTTCTTTCAAGATACAATATTCAAATTTGCACTTTTACTTTACATCGATAATAAATATATAATTATAATTCTATAATATTTATATAATTTACAATAATATAGAAAATTGTCTATAATTTAAAATTATATATATATATAAATATTTACGAATTTATTTTTTAAATAATGCTAAGTTATAATTATAAATTGAATATATATATAGTTCGAAATGGAAAAATATTATGATAAAATAAGATCAAAGTTCAAAAATCTCTATTTATACTTTTCTTCATTATCTTCAACTTGCAGAAAATTAGTGACGCAATACTATTCAGTTATTAACGATTATTTATATGGAAAATATACGAAATTTTGTTCTGTAAAAAACAAATTATTAAACATTGTTTTATTATTATATTTATTTTATTACAGTTATTAATTTAAGAAATCAAGTTGTAGGATATTTAACAATCAAAGAAATAAGTGATTTATTTTTCAAATATTTATAATTTATTTTGAAAATTTGAAATATGAATTGCGTGACGATTTTTACATTACTGGCGATTTTTCTTGGATGTAAAAGTTACACATTACGACGTACGTATAATTTTATTATAATTTTTTCAAAATTATCGATATATTGCAAAATAATACAAAAATTGAATATTGTTCTTTTGTTTTAAAGGGGAATGCTTTGAACATCATCATTGTCCAGATTATAAACCGGCTTGTTTTGATTCAATATGTATGAATCTTTGTGAAGATAGCTGTGGAATTAACACCGTTTGCAAATTACGAGAACGAGTCACTCCTGTTTGTTATTGTATGGATGGAATGATTGGAGATCCATTTATCAAATGCTGGAAACGTAAGTTTCTTTTATTTATTTAAATTTGCGTTAAAAAATTTTTTAAATAAATTCAATTTTTAACAATTAAATTATTTATTCCTAAATTAGAAATTGAAATATAAATCTAAATTTAAAATTTGTTTAAAGTATATATTCAATTTCGTTTTGCCAGTTAAGAGATGAAAAATCTCTTTTTTTTTCGGGGACAAAAAAAATTCATGAATGAAAACTTTGACGTCACCCGAGGCATTAGAATAAAATTTAAAAAGCACATTAAACCACTTTAATTACTGATTTGAACTAGATTGGATATTGTTTTTTTTTTGGGGGGGGGAAATCAAAGATAAAGTGAATAGGATACCTTTTTTTTATAATAGTTTTATAGGATTGAGATAATATTTTTTAACGATGCGTATGAGGAATAATTTTGTAGTGGGTGCTTTCGATTAAATCGAATCTTCTTTTAAATTAAATCTACCTTAAACGTGATTCGTTCCATCGCTCTCTCGACCCCTTATGACAGTCGCAAATTCACAAAAATCAGCCCCAGGGTTTTCATCAACGTAATTAAGATAAAAAAGGTCTTTCATTCTTTAAACAACCGCAAAAAAGTCAAACAAAACTCTTAGAACACAAATTCAGAAATGCTCTAAGGCTTCAAGCTCTTGTTTCTCATCTTGATTTAAAAAACTTCAACTTATTCTTCTTGTCTTTTATTTTTTAATTTTCTTTTACTTTTTTTTTTTTTGCTGAGCTTAGAACTTCTTTAATTAGAAGAACAAGTAAGAATGTACCAGACATTAAATTAAAAATCTCTACTAGAGAATTTTTCAAACATTTATTGCTTTAAATAAATCTATTTATAAAAAAAAATCAATAATATTTCAATGAAAATATTTAATTTATACAATAATTTTATTTTCAATGTAATTTTAATTATTAAAAAGAATAAGGAAATTTTTAAAAAAAATTATTTTTGATTGTGAGAAATGTAATTGGAAATCGATAATGAGTGAAATTTATATATAGTCATAATATATGACAATCACACTTGAAAGTTCAATTAGGTGTAATGCAAAAATGAAACTCCAATGTAATGAAGCGTGATCATAATAGTATTGCAGAAATTTCGTGCTTTGTCGTTGGGGATCGATAACGCTAAACCAAAGGGTAATAACATTTTACTCATCTCCCATTCTCCTGTGAGAGAAAATTCTAGACGATACGATATAGAATGATTTGCATCTTATTCATCCCCCTTTATCACCGATTGTGAACAATATTCTAATTTTAAAAATTCATAAATAATTCAATTTTAAATAAATTCAAAAAAAAAATATTCCCAATTTCTTTTTAATAATAGAATTTAATTTTATTTAATAATTTTTCTTCATTTCGACAATTTTTCAAAAATTTCTATTCAATAAGTATTTTTTAATTTCAATAAAAGTATTTGACAAAGATTTTGGAATAAAACTGAAATTTTGTTTTTTCTTTAAAAATTATTAAGAAATAAATTTATTTTTTATTTTGCAATTGAAAAATTTAAGTTCATTTTTTTTTCTTATGCAGAATTATTAGTTTGATCATATGATATAAATGCAAGTTTGGATATATCAATATTTGCAAAAGAGAAAGGGTTCTAGAAGGGCTATAGTTTCTGAGTTTTATCCGAAATGTACATGAAGCTTAGAATACGTAAGCTTTGGATATTTTTCGAAGTTTGCAAAGTTACCTCAAAAGCACAAGGGCGTCGGAAATTCGCGTATATATATATATATATATATATATATATATATATATATATATATATATAGTGAAAGGGAGTTAAATCGCGTAGGTTGACTGGCGCCTCGTCGAGGATTTTCCTTATTTATACAGGGTGATTTCTGCAATCGGGGTCATCTTTAACTGTTATTAATCTTAAAAGACTATATCATCAGCTTTTCCAACCTGATACCATCATTGTTTCTCTTACAATTTCCCTATTGTAAAACCAATACCTTATGCTCTTTTTTTTTTTTAATTTTTACTTTCTATTCAAATTTTTATTTTACTATTAATTAACAATTTTCAAATAAATTTATCAATAATTATAAATTAATAATGATAAATTTACAATTTGTAAATTAATAAATTGTGTTCAATAAATTTATCTAAAACTTGTTTTTTTTATTAATTTTTCATTAATTATATATTATTTTAAAATTTATTTTTGAGCTATTTCTGTTTTGTTTTAGATGAGGATTGGAATAATGAAAATTCAAACCAATGGGGAGAATCATCTCAAGAGTCGATGGAATTGATTTCCGCGATATTATATTCTTAGCCAGGTTGTGTAATGGTAAATTTTGGTCAGGTTAGTTGAAATAATCTCATTTATGTATATTTTAAGATATTTGTTTTTACATCAGTATATGAAATTTGTTGTCATTTGCAACTGATATTGAACATTCAATATTCAATATTCGTTTCTCTTATATATGAAGTAATGTTTTTAATATTTAATATTATCCACAAAGCTTCCATTGAAAATGTGAAAAGCGAATTTCCAATTATACAAATTCTCGCAGAAACTAGATTACATCTTTATATAATATTTTAAACAATAAAAGATTTCGGGAAAATAGTTATGAAATTTGTGTTTTAATAAGAATTATTAATAAAAAAATTGATTAGCTTAGTTATTCAATTTTTGTCTCGCAATTAATCATCATTCAATAAATTCATTTTATAACTCAATTCAATATTTTGGCAATCATATAACAATTCTTCTTAAAATCAATTCATTATTGAAATATTTTATGTAATAAATCTATTACAATTTTATGATTCGATAATTCTATTATAAATTTTGTAGTGAATTTATATTTTCAATGATTTTTGGAACATTTTTACTGTTTTTCTATGGGCAGGTTTAATTTTTTTTTTTAATTTCCATAGAGAAAAGTTCTTGTGTAAATAAAAGAAGACATTTTAATTTTTAATATCAATTTGACAAAAGGCAGTAAGGATTTATATAAAGACAATTTTACTTGATCAAATATAGCAAAAAAAAAAAGAAAGAAAAAAACACTCAAATTAATTAAATGACTATGATATGGACTTCCTTAATTCAAATTGAAATGTAGAATATGAAAAGATGAAATTATCCGGGGAGTAGAGCTTAATATTAAATGTAAAATAGAAAAAAAAAGTTTCTAAACCAAAAATTTATTTATTTATAAAAATAATTTCAATTTAAAAAATTTTGATAAATGTTTTAAATTTAAAACACAAACATTTCTAATTATATTTATATTTATTTATCAAAATAACAATTTAACAAATATTATTTTTCTCAGATTGTTTCTTTTCATAGCCCATTATTAATAAAATTTCCTCAAGATTTTTACCCATTGTTTCTGGCATAACAAACCAAACAATAAATGCTTGTAAAATGCAAAATATAGAAAAAATCCAAAATGCCACATAAATATTACCATTGGCATTAAATGAATGTAATATAAAATTTGATGTTAAACATCCAATGGAAAATGTAATACCACCAGTCATTGCGGCATATTCTTTTAAATGAATTGGAAATATTTCACCAACATAAATAAATGATATTGGATTAATTCCAATATTACATGAAAATGTAAAACATATTAAGCCAACAAGTGGTGCAAATGCAAAAAATTTTACATCAAATTGAAAAAAATATTGAAATAAATAAAAAATTCCCACCATTGCCAAACTTAATGACGATAATAATCCTGATATTAAACATGTTGGTTTTCTACCCCATGTATCAATCAATAACGATGACGTTAGTCCGGAAAAAATTTGTATTCCCGTTAAAATCATTGTTCCATGTTTTGCCGATAATGCCGAGTCACTGTAACTTAAAATTTCCTCAGCAAACGCTTGTATTGCAATATAACCGGATAGACCACTAAATGATGCTGTTATTACAACAATAATAAATGCCTTACGTCCACCTTTATCAATAAATAAATCGCGTAAAATATTTGTTTCAATTTTTTCATTTTCAATTAATGTCTTTTTCATTCTTTCAATATCATCGGCAATTAATTCTCGTCTCGTTACCGATGTTAATTTCATTAAAACTTGTATTGCCTCTTCCTCAAAACCTTTCATTAAATAATAATATGGTGTTTCAGTCATGAAAATTGACATGGCAAATCCAAAAATTGGCATCATTGTCATAACTAAATTCATTGTTTTATGATTGAGTAATGCACCCGATAATGCCATTAGAAATGCACCAATACTTGAGCAAATAATAATAATAGATAAATATGTACCACGAATTTGTTTATCAGCAATTTCACCAATATAAATTGGTATTGCACTGCAAATAGCGCTAAATGCCAATCCAAATGTTAATTTTGCCACACACAATAGTGTATAATTCGTTGCAATATTTGTTAATATCCATGATAATAATTGTAATGTACCAAGTAGAAGAATTGTATTTTTACGTCCCAATTGTTTTGTTATTAATAAATATAAAAATGGACCAAATATTGATGAGAAACTAATAAGATAAAGAAGATAAGAAGCTTTTTCTTGTGTTATAGGAATATGTGAATTTTCACTTTTTAAATATGGTAATGAAGGCGATGTCCACACCATATGTGCGCCACCGTCTATTAAAAAAATGTAGGCTGCAAAAAAAAAAATTCATTTGAAAATCAATATTTTAGTTTCTTTTTCTCTAGGAAACGTAATGTTTTTTTTTTTTTATAAATTAAAACAAGAATAAAAAATACTCACCGCTCAATATTGTAATAAATTGAACAAAATGAGCTTTTTTCTCCCGACGAATTTCTTTAATTGGAACATTTTCAATCTTCTCTAATTCATTATCTTCCCCATGTGAACATGAATTACAAATACTCATTATTTCTTTTTTATTTTAATCGCGATTTTTTGAAATTTTTGGAATTTTTCTGCACGACTTACAAAAAATTTTGAAATTTATTTTTGATATAAAACTTTAATTAAATAATAATATGATAATAATGGGAACATTGCACAAAATTTCACTTTTAAATTTTATTAGAAATTTTTTTTTTTTGTATACTTTTATTTTGTGTGAATCAAAGAGAGTATGTGCTTTTTTTCGTCTTACTAAAGTAAATGACACGTAGAAATAAAACTGTTATCATTTAGGCAAGATTTGTCTTATGTCACAACCTTTGGAGACATTGCTACAAGTATTTATGTTGATATTATTTTCTACCAATCTGCATTTAAATATATATCTTAATTGAAAAAATATAAGATAATTCGCATGTGAATTATGATGACAAAATTTTAGATATTAAAAATTTACTTGCGAAAAAATCAATTAAATTATCAAAATTCCATGATTTCCAAATATTGATTTTTTTTTATTTCCAAATATACTTTTTCCTAATATAATTTATTTTTAGAATTAAATACTAATAATTAATTATTAATTATTAATTTCTACGTAACAAAACATTTTTCCTTTTTGTTTCTCATCTTATTTTTTTCTCTCATCAATTCTAATACTTCTTCGAGTGTTTTTCCCTTTGTTTCAGGTGTAATTACAACAAGTAAAATTGGTCCAATAACACAAGCAGAGGCAAATATCCAAAATGTCGTATAAATTCCAGCAAAATCATTAACAAATGGAATCATCATTTTTGTTAAAAATGATCCCACCGAACCAATAATTGCACAAAACATAATTGCCACACCTTTTACTTTAATTGAAAATAATTCACCGGAATAAACAAATGGTATCGTTGTAATACCAATATTACATGTGAATTGATATAAAATTAAACCAATCAATGGTAGCCAAGTAATTTTAGAAACGTTCATTAACAAAAAATATTTTAAGAAGAAAAATAATCCAACAATTCCTAATGTCAATGCTGTTGTTAATCCCGAAATCAAATAAATTGGTCTTCTTCCTAATTTATCACTAAATCGAGATGAAGGAAATCCAGCAATTATTTGCACTCCAGACATAATCATTGATGCATAAACAGGTCTCAATGTTGATTCACTGTAACTAAAAATTTCTTGTGCATACGCGTGTATTGCAATAATACCCGAAAAAACAAATGTCAATTCAGCAATAATAAAACTTATTAATCCACGTCGACTACCTTTATCACGAAAAACTTGATAAATACTATTTTTTTCACATTTTCTATATTCAATCACAGAATTTTTCATTCTCTCAATATCTTTTATTATCAATTCCCTTTTTTTCACACCCAATAATTTCATTAATGTTTCTATTGCTTCATCATCACGATTTTTCATCAATAAATAATATGGTGTCTCGTGCATTAATGAAAATAAACATAATGATAAAATTGGCACCAATATCATTATTAAATTCATTGTTCTATATGGCAATAAACCAAGAACATTAATAAAAAATGTGCCAATACTCAAAAATAATTTATCCAACGATAATAATGTACCACGATAATTTTTATGTGAAATTTCACCAATATAAACGGGTAACGTTACAAATGGTCCACCTGAACTTAATCCAACGAAAAATCTTGCTATAAATAAATATTGTAAATTTTCGGCAAAATAAACTAATATCCATGATATTAATTGTAAGAGAGCAAAAATTAATAATGTCAATCGTCTTCCAATTCGATTCATAAGAAATGTTGCTGTTATTGTTCCAATTATTCCTGATATATTAATTATTGACACTAGCCATGCACTTGTTGCTTTTGATAGGAAAAATTTGGAATTTTCACTTTTTAAATATGGTAGGGCAGGTGAGGGCCATCCTGATTGTGCTCCCATATCTAACATCATACTATATCCTGTAAGAATATATATATTTTTTTTTAATTTAACTGCGTTTTTTATTTTATTTTTTTTTTATTTGTTGAAATATTTCCAAGAAATTGATTTTTTATTAAATATTTAATAATTTAATAATAGGTAATATTTATTCTACTCTGAATTAGTGACAAATTTTTCTAATTTGTCAGTACAAATTTTTTTTTAATATTAATTAGTTAAATTTTATTAATCTGTTAGTAAAAAAAATTTTGTTGCTAATATTATTTAATTAAATTTTACCAACTTGTTAGTAAATAATTTTTTTCTAATATTAATTAGTTCAATTTAACTAATTTGTTAGTACAAATTTTTATTTAATATTAATTAGTTAAATTTTATTAATCTGTTATTAAAAAAATTTTTTTTGCTAATATTAATTAATTAAATTTTACTAATTTGTTAGTAATTTTTTTTTTAAATATTACTTAGTCAAATTTTACTAATTTGTTAGTAAATAATTATTTTTCTAATATTAATTAGTTAATTTTTACTAATTTGTTAGTAAAAATTTTTTTTTCAATATTAAATAGTTAAGTTTTACTAATTTGTTAATAAAAAAAAATTTTTTGTTTTACTATTATTTAAATTTTACTAATTCAAAGGCAAAAAAATTAATGAATGAATAAAATTATTTTTTTTCATTAATTCAAATATACTATATCCTGTAAGAATATTTTTTTTTCTTTAATTTAACTTCGTTTTTGATTTTATTTTTTTTTAATTTGGTGAAATATTTCCAAGAAATTGAATTTTTATTAAATATTTAATAATTTAATAATAGGTAATATTTATTGTACTCTGAATTAGTGACAAATTTTTCTAATTTTTTAGTAAATATTTTTTTTTAATATTAATTAGTTAAATTTTACCAACTTGTTAGTAAATAATTTTTTTCTAATATTAGTTAATTAAATTTTACCAACTTGTTAGTAAATAATTTTTTTCTAATATTAATTAGTTAAATTTAACTAATTTGTTAGTACAAATTTTTATTTAATATTAATTAATTAAATTTTATTAATCTGTTAGTAAAAAAATATTTTTTGCTAATATTAATTAATTAAATTTTACTAATTTGTTAGTAAATTTTTTTAAAAATATTACTTAGTCAAATTTTACTAATTTGTTAGTAAATAATTATTTTTCTAATATTAATTAGTTAATTTTAACTAATTTGTTAGTAAAAAATTTTTTTAGCAATATTAAATAGTTAAGTTTTACTAATTTGTTAATAGAAAAAATTTTTGTTTTACTATTATTTAAATTTTACTAATTCAAAGGCAAAAAAATTAGTGAATGATAAAAATTATTTTTTTTTCATTAATTCAAATATTTAAAGTGAATATTTTGAAAAATTTGTTTAGTAAATTTTATTTATTTACACAATGTGTGAATTTTGCAAAATTTTGAATTAAAAAATACACGTGTCAAACACAAATATGATCTTATACATTCCTAAAGAAATCTAAGACTTAGGTGAATGTATAAAGAGACAATGTCACATTTTATTATTATCAACTTTTGATAATATGTGACATTTGTTCGTTTACACGTGCACCTAAGACAATCGTACATTCCAATTTTTTATTTATTAACTAAAATTTCTAATGAGGAGAATTTATAATTATTAATAATTATTATTATTAATAATTTAATCAAAATAATTCATAATAATAATTATTATTATTACTATTATTATTATTTAAAAAAAATAAACGTTAGTTTTTATAAAAACAAGAATTACAATAAAAAATCAAAAACAAGTGAATTTAAATGATGAAATATAAAAAAAATTGAAGTAAGATTGAAGCACAAATGAAAATAGAATTGTTTTTCAAATTTGTAAATTAATTTTAATATTTTTATTTTTTTGTTCAAATACTAATTGAATTAAAATTTTGCATTAATTCTACAATAATAATTTAAATTTATTTCGTTTTATTATTGAAAAAAGAAAATTAATCGAAAAAATTTAATTTCTTGAAATTTTTCTGTTAAAAAAATATAATTATAACACTCACCACTGAGAATGGAAAGAAACTGTAAAAAAAACGCTCTTTTTCCCACGGTAAATTCAATTTTTTCATTATTGGCCATATTTTTTTTTATTAATTAAAAATCATTCAAAAATTTTAAATAAAAAAAATTTCCAACAATTATAATTACGTTTGAAATTATACGTCTTGTTTTTCGTAACTAATAATGAATGCAATTGTCTTTTTCTTTCGTTTTTCATATATCACATAAACCATTATACTTCTGGGAAGCCATTTTCAGATAACCTTTCATTAAAGTCGTAAAGATTTAAACAAATGTAAATTTGTGTTGAAATTTACTCGTTTTTTTAAAAATTAAATTATAAACTAAACCAAAATTAATTTAATAATTAATTTACTTAAAAATAATTAATTAAATGTAAGTTAAAAACTTGACATTAAATTTGATTGTTTGAATTGAAAATATTTTTTTAAAATTTTAATTATCTTAAAAATTAATATAAACATTGATATTAATAACTCTAGATTTAAAATTAAATTATATTTATTTTTTTTTCTACAAAACGTATCAAAACATAATCTTTGTACAATATTAATGAGTATAAAAAGAAAACTAATTTTCTAAAATACAAATAATCTTTCCTAAAAAATTTTATAAAATTGCATTTTTTTAATTAAAAATAATAAAAATTCAGTCATTTCTATTCTGAATTCTGAAAATGACTAAATTTACAATAATTTTTTATTTCTTTCTTTTAATTCTAGAGAAGAATTAATAATACTTTTTTTTATAAAATTAAATAAAATTTTTCCCAAAAAAAAAAAAAAAACATTCATGCTTCCAAAAACCACATTCGAAAGTTAAAAAAAATTTTATATACATCATCTTTTGCTCATTAATTCTAAAACTTCCTCCAAATTTTTACCCTTAGTCTCGGGTGTAATGAAAACAATAATAATTGGTCCAATAAAACAGACAATGGAAAATATCCAAAATGTCGTATAAATACCCAATGAATTATTCAACAGGGGTATCATCATTTTTGTAATAAAAAAAGAAATTGCCATAACAATTGACGCGATCATTATAGCAGCGCCTTTTACATTAACTGAAAAAAGTTCACCACTAAAAACATTTGGTAATGTATAAATACCAGCATTATTCATAAACTGATATAAAATTAAGCCAGCCAATGGTAGCCAATTTATAAATTCAACATCAATTATAAGATAATCTTTTAGAAAAAAATATAATGCCACCAATGATAAAAATAATCCTGATGTTATACCAGAAAATAAATAAACCGGTCTTCTACCCCATTTATCAATTAATTGAGCTGATGGTAATCGTGAAAATATTTGTACACTAGCAATTATCATTGCCGCATATTTTGCATCTAATGTTGAGCCACTTTGTTGAAAAATTGATTGAGCATATGTTTGTATCGCAACTAAACCACTAAATGCTAATGTTAAATTTGCCAAAATAATAATAATAAGTGCATTTCGACTACCACGTTCATTTAATAATAGAAAAAAACTATTTACACTTTTATTTTTATTTTCCATTGCATCGCGCATTCTTTTAATGTCAATCATGACATTTTCTGTTTTATATAATTTTACAAGTATTCTAATTGCGTCGGCTTCACGATTTTTCATTAAATAATAATAGGGTGTTTCCAACATAAATGGAAAGAAACATATTGCAATAATTGGCAATGAAATCATTACCAAATTCATTGTTTCATAATTGAGAAATGCACCAAGTAAATTAATGAGAAAATTACCAAGATTCATACAAACGCCACTACAAACAATAAACATACCACGTAAATTTTTTTCAGTTATTTCACCAATATAGGGTGGAAGAAAACTATAGCTACCACCAAAACTAAAGCCAGCAAAAAATCTTGCTGCTAATAAAAAATGATAATTATTGGCAAAATTAATTAATATCCAAGAAATAAGATGTGCTATTGCAAATAGAAAAAGGGTAAATCTACGTCCTATTCGATCCATTAGAAGTGGATTAACCACATAACCAGCGATACCAGCGAGTGATACAATTGAAGCAATCCATGCACCTTGATCATCTGTTATTGGAATTTTGGAAATTTTTTTATTCGTCAAATATGGTAGTGCTGGCGATGACCAAGAAAGTTGTGCACCAACATCTATTAATAAGATGTAACCTGTGGGAAATAATTTTTTTTAGGAATAAATTTTTTTTTTTTTTCTTTTATTTTTTGAGCGAAAAAAAATATTTTGTTCGAACAACCAAAATGAAAACGTTTCTTGTCTATCAATAAAATTAATTCGAATTTTTAATTAATTTTCCATGACCGAATTTTTACAGTAGAATTTTTATTTAGCGCAAATTTTATTCAACAAAATTTATAATTAATTTTTTTTTGGTTTTATTGAACCGAATTTTTATTTAGTGAAAGTTTTATTTAACAAAATTTATAATTTACCAATTTTTTTGATTTTATTAAGCTGAATTTTTACAGTACAATTTTTATTTAGCGGATGTGGAACAAAATTTATAATCAACTTTTTTTGATTTTATTAAACTGATTTTAAACATTAAAATTTTTTATAAAGGAAATTTTATTTGAGAAAATTTATAAACAATTTTTTTGGTTTTATTAAACCAAAATTTCTATAGCAGAATTTTTATTTAAAAAAATTTAAAATTAATCAATTTTTTTGGGTTTATATAACCGAGTTTTTTACAGCAGAATTTTTATTCAAGAAAATTTTTTTTTGGCTTTATTGAACCAAATTTTTACAGTAGAATTTTTATTTAACGGAAATTTTATTCAACAAAATTTATAATTAATTTTTTTTGGTTTTATTGAACCGATTTTTTATTTAGTGAATGTTTTATTTAACAAAATTTATAATTTACCAATTTTTTTGATTTTATTAAGCCGAATTTTTACAGTAGAATTTTTATTTAGCGGAAGCGGAACAAAATTTATAATCAATTTTTTTGGTTTTATTAAATCGATTTTTTCAATTAAAATTTTTATTTAAAGAAAGTTTTATTTAAGAAAATTTATAAACAATTTTTTTTGTTCTATTAAACCGAAATTTCTATAGCAGAATTTTTATTTAACAAAATTTAAAATTTATCAATTTTTGGGTTTATTTAACCGAGTTTTTATATTAAAATATTTATTTAGAGCAAGTTTTATTTAAAAAAAATTTATAATCAATTTTTTTTGGTTTTATTAAAACGAATTTTTACAGTAGAATTTTTATTTAGCATAAGTTTTATTTAACAAAGATTTATAATTAAAACAATTTTTTTTTGGTTTTATTCAACCGAATTTTTTACAGCAGAATTTTTATTCAAGAAAATTTTTTTTTTGGCTTTATTGAACCAAATTTTTACAGTAGAATTTTTATTTAACGGAAATTTTATTCCACAAAATTTATAATTAATTTTTGTTGGTTTTATTGAACCGATTTTTTATTTAGTGAAAGTTTTATTTAACAAAATTTATAATTTACCAATTTTTTTGATTTTATTAAGCCGAATTTTTACAGTAGAATTTTTATTTAGCGGAATTACACGAATATTCTACATTAAAAAAAAAATTTATTTGATTCAAATAATCGATTACTTAAAAAATCAAATAAATATTTACTTGGACCAAATAATTTTTATTTGAATTAAATTGTATTTGAATCAATAATTTCTATATCTGAACCAATAATTTCTGTATTTGAAAAAAATACTATTGACTCAAATAATAATTATTTAATACTAATTATTTGTTATTTAATTAATTTATTTATATTAATATTTATTTAATAATGTATATAATTAATAATAATAATAATTAATAATAAATTTAATAATAATGAAAATTAGTTTAAAAAATTTTATTAGTTAAAATAATTAATTTATATATTAATTTAAATAAAAAATAAAATATTTAATAAATATTCGGTTTAATAAACAATTTATAAAATTAATATTTATTTTAATATTCGATTTCAACTCTATGTGAGGATCGTGAAAAAATGGGACCTAACAAAGTGACAACTCTGCAAAACACGCGAGGTGAAAACAGACCCAGACTGGTTTGTCCTGGTGATGGGGGGGGGGGGCATTGTTTGGTAGGAAAAGAAAAGTACTTATTGGCTCAGGTAAAGAGGCACGTGTAAAAAGATATTCTATATTTAGAAAAAAAAAAAAAAAAAATGTTGATAACCGATTTCATCCTGTTTTAATAAATTTCTTTTTTTTGACTCACAGCTGGTAAAAAAAATTACATAAAAAAAATTATTATATAATAAAACAATGTTTGAGATAATTTAACTCACATACGATTTAATATAATTTTTTTTGTCTTCTTTAATTAATAAGACGTAATTTATTACAAAATCATTTCTATGATCAATAATTTTGTCAATTTTTTTTCTCATATGAGAATAATTTTTATTTAACAAAAACAAATTTAATTTAATTTATCATTTTTTTTTTTATTATTTTTCTCGCAAGTATTAATAAAATTTGATTTAATCACATTTTGGTTGGCCCCAAAAAATTTTTTTTATATCAACTTAATTTTTTCTTATTTCGATTAAAATAAAAAATAAATTTCAATTTTGAATTTGAATTTTATTTAATTTTAATTAAAATTAACTCAATATACGAAATTTTATGAATTAAAAAATCTCACCTGTCAAAATTGAAAGAAATTGACGTAAATAATGTTTTTTTCTTTGTGAATTCCCATTGTCGAAAATTTCATTCATATTTTTATTGGATAAATTTTTTTTTTTTTTTGACAATAAAAATGAAAATTAATTCTCCGTTTTAATATAACATATATATTGTCACTTCAACTTATGGTATAAGAATAATTTGCTTTTCAGTGAAATGGAAAAAAAAATGTCTCTTCAAATTACATTTAGCTTTGACAATGACTTTCAGAGAAATATTCTATCCTTGAAATATTAAATTTCAATGTGACGCACTAATCATAATTTTTCATTTTTGTTTTTATCTTATCTTCTACTAATGACTATATAAATTTATATGCCTTATTAGTTTACGATTATATTAAATATATATATATATATATAAATCTTTACAATTAATATAATTGATATACGAGAATTTTTCATTTTATCTACAACTCCATTTATATAATTACGACCACAATGAAAAATTTATCATAAAATAATTTATTATTCTTTCTTAACTTTTATTATATATTTTCGGTTTATTTTTTTTACATGGAAAAAAAATGGATTATAAAATTTGGGAAAAAAAAAGAATTTAATCTAAATTGTAACATTTATCATATCTTTAATCTAGTTTTTATTATTTTAAAATAAGACAATGTGTATTTAATGGATTATAAAGTTTACAATCCAAATTCTAATTGTATGTTTATTACAATGGTAATGGTTACATTTAATAACGATGATAATGTTTCGAGTAAAGCTATAAAGTATTCTCTAAATAAAATTTGTATTTAAGGAAAAATTTGAACAGTAAAAAAAATTTTTTGTTACCGTTTTTTATATTTTAAAAAAATAATTTTTTAATTTTATTTCTTTTATTTTTTTATCTCCAGTTAAATTTGCGATTTTTTTTTGTTAATAATTTAATTTATTTTTATTTAATTTTAATTTTAATTTAATTTAATTTTGTTTTTATTTTACTTTTATTTGTATTTAATTTAATTTAATTTTTTATTTTTATTTCCTAAAAATTGAAAAAAAAAAATTATTAAATTATTTGATTATTAATTAAAAAACGAAACTGTCAAAGGAAGATAAGGAGTAACAAATTGAGTATTAAATTCTTAACCATTACCAGCGTACTTTGAAAATTATTAGGCAAGTCATGGTATAACTTACCTAAGACTTTCCATCGTAAGGTAGATTAGTTTTCAGCTAGTCATGTACACGATTTTTGTATTTGTATATGTAAATATTACGTATCTTTATCTCTATTATCTAATTTATTAACCGAACAGCAAACTCAGTCAACTACATTGTATATAATTAAATAATAATTATACAGATAAACAAGGAAAAGAATAGATGCAAAAAAAAAAAATTACAAATTTTTTTTCTAAATAATAATTTTGTTTCATCTCATTTATATATCTTTTTTTATACGAAAAAATTTTTTTATATTTTTTACATACTTTTATACTGTAAAAAAATTAATTACTAATTTAATAATAATAATAAAAATAAAAATCCTGAATAAAAATAATAATATTTTGAATGAAAAAAAAAAATTTTTTTTTTCTATCGGCGAAATTCATTTCTAAATAGATAAAGACTTTTATTAATATTTAGCGAAAAAAGTCTTAATGCTTATATAAATTTTTTTTTTTTTTTTTACAAAACTTGTTCGCAATTATATTTTTCTTTCATTTCTGAAAATTTGAAAATTTCAATATTATCTCTCTAAACTGGAAGAAAATTGAAAATTTTCACAATCAAGACTGATTTACATCAAATAGAGAGTACAGTGACTTGTAAAATTATATAACATTATTTAAATGACGTTATTTTGCTTTGAAGTAATAAATTTCCTTTAAACACCAGAAACAGAAATGTACAAGAAATTAATATGAAACTTAAAGTTATCTTGTGTAGGCACATTATTATTTTGTCTCAAATATAAATTTAATCACGTGTAAGGTTTTTGTTTTTTTTTAAATAAAATTATGAATTTATTTATTAGAAAATTGAATTTTACCTATATAAGAAATTGTTATTGGTAATTAATGAAGCCCTATAAAAATCAAAGAACGATATCAAATCATTTTTCTTTTATGATCGCATGTTATATAAGTGTGGTTATATTGAAATTAGCTCTAGAAACAAAAAAAGACTATTATAAAGAACGATCGTTAAATAAAAGTAGTATAAGAATTTTATTTTTCAAAATTATCATTTTCTGAGCAAAATTTTCCAAATATATGAAAATTTTACTTCTTGAATTTTTATTCAAATGTTTTAATATATTATTTATTTTCTATTTTTATCGACAAATTAGAAAATCGTAAATTGTAAATCTGCTTTAATAAATTAAGAAAAGAAATAATATTTAATTAGGTTTTCAATCTTTGTAAATTAATTCTTTTATTAATAACTAGCAAAATTTAAAGTATTTAATTGTTTGTTATAAAGAAATTAAAGATTAATATTATCAATAATAATTTAATTTATTAGAATATTATTACATATTAAATGATAATAATAAAAATTATATGTTTACAGGCCTCGGATTATACTACTTTTATCGACTTATTTTTATAAAATGCGACATTTTTTTTTTACATTTGAAAAAAAATGTAAATAAAATACATTTTTTTAGTATAAAATGTAGATCTTCTTCAGATCTTCTTCAATTCAATTATTTAACAAATTTTGAACTAAAATGATTCTTCACTAAATTAATTATTTTTAATAATTTTCATGAAATACATCACAAATTCAATTATATCAAAATTATTTTTCAATTAAAATTTTTATGAAATTTAACAATTGTTTATAATTTAAAAAGAAAATATATCACAATAAAATTGAATTATTTTTTAAAAATTTCAATTCAAAATAAACATTATTACCCGAAATTTTAATTCAAAATCAATTAAAAATCCAATAATTATCCACAATTTTCAATTTAAAATTTAATTATTTACCAAGTTTTCAATTTAAAATAAAATAAAATTCGATTATTTTCTAAAATTTCTATTCAAAATTAATTATTTAAATTTTCAATCAAAAATGAATTTAAATTAAATTATTAACCAAAATTTCAATTAAAATTCAATTATTTCCCAAAATTTTCAATTCAAAATGAACTGAAATTCAATTATTTTCCAAATTTAAAATCAAATAAAATTTCATTATTCTCAAAAATTTGAATTCAAAATTAATTGAATTTTCAATAATTTGAATTTAAAAGCATCTAAAATTTAATTATTTCTAAAATTTTCCATCGAAATTTTTTTTTTTGAAATTTGATAATTTCAATTATAACTTTAAGGAAATTGAATTATTTTTAACTATTTTGATAATATTGTATGAAAATTCAACTATCTGAAACCATTTTTCAATTAAAAATGATTTTCAAATTATTGTATTTTGTCCGCATTTTCTAATAAATTTTTAATGAAATCATCTAAAATTTTAATTACAAAACACTTAAAGTTTCAATTAATTTCAAAAATCTCAATTTTAAATCTTTGAAAATTCAATTAAATTTAAAAAATATTTTCCCAAAAATTGTTTGATAAATTATTTTTAGTTCTGTAAAATTTAATAATTGTTTGAAAATTAACAATATATCTTTTGAAATTTAATTATTTCTAAAAATTTCCACTTTAACCCTTCGGAAAGGATTATTATTAAAAATAAAGTTTTTTATTTAAAAATCTGTAAAATATTTTTGTTAAAATAAAAAACTAATCCACTTTTTTTTGGAATATAAATCGACTAAAACGACTTTTTTGTGTCTTTAAGTTGATTCGAGGCCTGTGTTTTTATAATTAATATTTAATAGGTATTCGTTGGCCCCTGGTTCCTTAAAAATTAATTTTTAAAAATAAATTTTTTTCAAATTACTATCTTGTACGAAATTTCCTGGCGCATCTTTTTTCTCATCATAAATTTTTTGTATTTGTATACAATTTTTGAATCAATATACAATTTTAAAAAAAATTTCGCTGGTAAACGTTGTGTTCAGTTTCGAGAATTGAATTTTCGAATTTGGAATTTTAAAGAAACTTATTTCGAAATTTGGAAACACAATTATACAACTTTGGCAAAAATGAGAAAAAGAATTTTCAAAATTTGACACCTCATAAGATTACACAGGCACACAAAAAATAAAAAGTTGTTTGGCCGAGTCACTACACTAGTCTATTTTCATGTATTTTTTCACGCTGAATCCGAATCCGAAGTGAGAATTTTCAGATTGGCTTTTATTTTTGAGATAAACTCAAAAAACTGCTCAGAAAGAAAAATAAAATCAAAAAGTTAAAAAAATTTTGAATGTCACTGCGATAGTGTAATTCCATGTATTTTTTGTCGCTGAATCCGAATCCAAAGTCAGAATTGTTAGATTCGCTCAAATTTTTGAGATAATTGCAAAAAAACACAAGTAACGAAAAACTCAAAATACTCAAAATCAGTTTTTTGGAATTATCTTCAAAATTTGAGCCAATCTGTCAATTCTGACTTCGAATTCGGATTTAGCGTGAAAAAATACATGAAAATGCACTATCGTAATGTTCTGGCAAAAACAAATTACTTTGAGCTAAAATCGCCAAAAACTGATAAAAATTCTGAATTAGGGGCACAGATAAATTTTTATGCCGAAACACTACGATAGTGCATTTTCATGTATTTTTTCACGCTGAATCCGAATTCGAAGTCAGAATTGACAGATTGGCTCAAATTTTGAAGATAATTCCAAAAAACTGATTTTGAGTATTTTGAGTTTTTCGTTACTTGTGTTTTTTTGCAATTATCTCAAAAATTTGAGCGAATCTAACAATTCTGACTTTGGATTCGGATTCAGCGACAAAAAATACATGGAATTACACTATTGCAGTGACATTCAAAAATTTTGTAACTTTTTGATTTTATTTTTCTTTCTGAGCAGTTTTTTGAGTTTATCTCAAAAATAAGAGCCAATCTGATAATTCTGACTTCGGATTCGGATTCAGCGTGAAAAAATACATGAAAATAGACTAGTGTAGTGTCTCGGCCAAACAACTTTTTATTTTTTGTGTGCTTGTGTTATTATTCAAAAAAACACGTGAAATCAGAAAAGGCCAACTTCAAGTTAGGACAAAAGGACAGACCAAGCATTTTATTATTATATAATTAAATAAATTCAGTTGAAGAAAACTTTCAAGTTTTCGTATAGTTAATAAATTATTAAATTCGATATAAGAAAAATTAAATTAATTAAATAATCGGATTATCAAAAAATAGGTAAACAATAAAAGAAGACAATCAAAAAATAAATTAATTTAGTAATAATTGTGAGTTTTTTTTTTTTTTTTTTTTTAATTTTCCAATTAATTTAATAACAGAGGAGATAAATGGGAATTACAATATTTTATCGAATATTATTACAATTATTGAATAAATGTATTTTTTTAAATTAATAATTTAAATCAGTAACAAAGGTGATAAATAGAATTACAATTATTCTTTTTTCGAAGATCACTTCAAATATTTTGTTTCAAATTTTTTTTTACCCCTATGAATTTGGAAATGAAAAATAAAATTAAAAAATAAATCATTTCTTTGAATAAAATTAAATAAAAAAAAAAAAAATTTCCTCTATTCGCGAATAGAAACTATATCTGGATTTTTAATTATTTTGGCAAATTTATTATATAATTTTCTTAAAAATACCTCTTTTATCTAATATCTTATCTTACAACGATGAAATAAGTTGAAAATTTTTGAAGTTAATGTTGGAATTTAATAGTTTCCATCCAACGCTGTTAGATTATGTGAAATATGTTATGAAAATATATCTTTATTGCATATAATAATAAGCAAAGGAGGGTTTTTAATTGCACAAGAGAGAAAGAGAGTATTTACATTATATTGCATATTAAAATTTCACAGGGTTGAAACTATTTTCAAATAATTTGCCATTTTTTTTTTTTTTTTTTTTTTTTTTTTTAGAATAAAAAACCTTTTATGGCATAAGGTTTCTATAAGAAAGTCTGTTTTATCATGTAAAGTTGATTTAAAAATATTACTTTCACATTATTACTTTTTCAGCAGAAAAAAAAAATAATTATTAAAAATAGATTATTTTTTTAAAGAATTATAATTTTAAAAAAATATTATAATTTAATTTCCTTTTTTTATATCAAAAATTTCTCTTTGCACTTATATAGGACTTCGCAATGTTTGTTTCATTTTTCTTTACATTGCATATTTCGATTTTGAATTTATCTATTGCGAAGTCACTCGACCTTTTCTATATTTATGGTTGAGAAAGTTTTTCATTCTTTATTTTCCATTTTCTTTCTATTTCAAGACGAATTCAAGAAATCAGTAATATAGTATATATAAGAAATCAACAAAAATTTTCCATCACGCAAAAAAAATATATATATATATATATATAAAAAATAAGTGAAAAAATAAATTGTAATTTCTAATAAAATGTGAGAAAAATTGTTTTTGCAAAAAAATAATAGAACATGAAATGACATCGATTAATTTTTAAAAGAACAATTCTTCTACTATTTCTCCTATAAGACTCTTATGATGATTGAATATAATAATAAATTTAATATCAAAAATTGAATTGTTTTGAAAAATAAAAAAATATTTTCTATTAGTTTTTCTTAATTTATATAAAAACATCAAATCTTCCATCTTTACTTAAAACATTTTTCGATATTGATTCAGTGTTCTTTATTTTAGAAATTTTTTATTTTTAAATAATTCAGTAGGTGTAGTACATATTTATTTATTACAGTAAAAAGGTCCTGTAATAAATTTAAAAAAAAAACTTAATGAAAAATATAATATTTTGTTAATAATAATATTAACAAAAATATTTATTTATTTGAACATATATTGTATTTTTTTTAAATATTAATATTATAATTAATAATAATAATTATTATTATTATAATTATAATAATTTTTATTATGATTATTATTTATATATAAATATAAAAAATGCATTAAATTTGTTTACAATTACATGTTCAATAAAATAAAATTGATTATTGGGAGAAAAGAATTTCTTTTTTTTATATTATAAATAATTTAAAAAAAATTTATAATATACCTTTGGGGGTAAAATATAAATAATAAAATCGCCCGAGGTCAGGATTATTTTTGATAAAATGGAGTTGATTGTCAAAAGTCACATTAATGCCCGGTAATATCCCTCTGGATACAAAATCAAACTCAATCCTGTTAATTGTCGGTCACTTTGGAGATTAATTGATTATTGTAATATTCCATATTTATAATGAAGAATTCATTTCACTATATTTGTCACAATTTCTATGAATATGTGTAAATTCTCAATTATTTTTTCATATTTATTATTTTAAAAAAAAACCGTATTACCAAAAAAGCAAATTATTCAAAATATTATAATTTTCCAAAAAAATATGTTTCTTTTTTTATTTTTTGAAAGAAAAAAAAAAATTTGCGTAGGTGTAATTTTTTATTTTAGTTATTAAATGGAAGAAACAATTTTTGTATATTTTAAATCTATTTGCATATGTGTATAGGATTTTTCATGTTCCTTTTTTTGAAATAATTTTTTATTCAAAATGTAGTTATTGTGAATAAAAAATTATTTCAAAAAAAGGAACATGAAAAGGAACATGAAAAATATATATATATATATATTGGTTTAATTGAATATCAATGTCTATTGGTGTTACTTTTCTTTAATTAGACCATATTTCAGTGAAAGCTGAATTTTATGCACTGACGCCTACGGAACTAGAAATACGTTTTTTTTTTTTTTTTGCTTCTTCAAAGCGAGGAAAATTTTTAAAACTTGGCTTATTCTAATTACATTTATATTTTTTTCTCATTGGCAGAAAATTTCGTTTTCTCCGAAAAAAAATTATACTACTTTTTTTTTATATATGTGAATTTTTTTAATTATATTTAATATAAAAATAAATTAAAATTAATACAAGAATATAAAGTATTAGATTAAAAAAAGTTTATTAGTTTCAATTTTAATATTTGTTTTTTTAATTTCGAAAAAGTATTTTAAAATTAAAAACTGTTATGATCAAATAATTAACCTTTTTTTAAATTAGAAATTATAATTCAAAATAAAGGCCTTTAAATAAGTTACTTTTTTTTAAAATGAAAGAATAAAATTTTACGATTCGCGCACTTTCAATAAATTCTCTCTATAAATTTAAATGTTCTTTGAATTTTATCTCGATTTTGTTTTATATCGAAATAAAAAAAAAAAAAAAAAAAAAAAAAAGAAAAATTATTACATGAGTAAACATTTTAACAATATTCATTTATAATTTAACATACAAAACATAATTGCTTGTTCATTGGAAAAAATTAAATTCCATTTTGAAATTAAAAATTGAGAATGTACCAAAAGAGAAAACTATATTGTTAATGTAAAAAAAAGAATATTATTAAAATGATGTGTGCCAACAAAACAAAAATTTACACGCTTATTTTCTGCCAAAAAAAGAAATCCTACGCGAATTTTTTTTTTAATATTTCTAGTACAATAATTTCAAAATATATACATTCAATATGTTTTTTTTTAATAAAATTTTTTTTCAATTTTACTTGTTTAATAAAAAAATTTGCTAATTTTGAAAAATTGGATTTTATTTTTTTTTCTTATTAATATAATAATTAAATTAAATTAATAATAAATAAAATATTTCAATAAATTATTATAATAAATTATTTTTTATAAAATAATGTTATAAAATAATTTTATAAAATAATTTATTAAAATAATTTATTAAAATAATTTTATGAAATAATTTTATAAAATAATTTATTAAAATAATTTATTGAAATATTTTATTAAAATAATTTTATAAAATAATTTATTAAAATAATTTATTTATGGATACAAAGTCGTCTTTGCATTCTATATTTAAAGTTGCCGTATATTGTTTAAAGCTCCTTTCATGAGAAGTTTAATATTTTATAAAAAGCAGGAAAAACCCGGAAACATGTATTTATACAAAAAATTTTAAAATAATTTTTAATAAATGGAAAAACAAAAATAATCAAAGGCGTCTAGTGAGAAAATAATCGACAAAAGGTATTTTAATTTTTTGCAAAATTAAAAAAAAAAAAAAAATTTACCTCAACTATAATTTTAGTCACTTCAGTTGAAAATTTTGTAATTTTTTTTTCCAAAATAAATTCTTTTACATCTGTACTTTTGCTCCACAGAAAATTAATTTTTTAAAAATTAATTTCCCTATTATTTTTAAAATTCTAAACAATTATTATTAATAATTATTAATATTAAATTAATTAATAATTAATAATAGAATAATTAATTATTAATTAATAGTACCTAATAAATAATTAATTAATAATAATTAATAATTACTAAATTAAGACATAATTATTATAAATAATTATTTATTATTAACAATGTTTATTAATAAAAAAATAATTGAAATTTAAAATTTTCAAAAAAATAGAATTTTTTATGTTTGATTTTATGCAATTCAAAAATCGCGAGTAATAAAAAAGTAAAAAAAAAATTTTTTTTTTTTGAAAATGTTGCATATAAGAAGAGGAAGAAGACGAAGAAGAAGAAGAATTTTTATGATGCGGGTAGTGTGTGGGTGGATTTGTAGTTTTGATGACGTAATAAGAGAAGTACATTTCTGTGCGTGTTGAAGAAGGGGTAGTTTGTTGGTTTGACAAAATCATTCTTTGGCGATATGGTTTTGAAGAAGAAGGGGTTGGTGTATATAAATGTTGGCCGCGCAAGCTCCACCAATCACTCGCCCTCTAACCACCAAACTAAAAGCGCCAGTATCAAATATACTGGATTCTAGAGTGTTACAAAAATCTACCCCACATTGAGACGCAGTAAAAATTCTTTTTGTGTTTCGTGCCTCGTGCTCCGGAAGAAGAAGAGGTTCAAAAAAAAGAGGGAAAAAAAGACGACTTGAAGACATCGAGAATCGCATTCAGAAAAAAAATAGTTTCGTGTGCCCCCCCGAAGACAAGGATATCATTCTTCACTTCCGGTAAATTTTTTTTTTTTCTATTAAATTTTTTTCATTTTTCTAGTTTTAATAAAATTGGAAAACAAAATTTTCTTTTCCATACTCGTCAAAATTTCATTTTTCTATATTAATTAAATAATTAAAAAATATATTAATTTATAATATATTTTTTAAAATAAAAAAATTTTTTTTTTTATTATTTTATAATAAATTAAGATATTTTTTAAAATCATTAAATAATTAAAAAAATATTTTATTAATTTTGCAACATAAATAAAAAATTTAATTTTTAATATTCTCCTAAAGAAAATTTTTAGAAAAACTATTTTTAGTGTTTGTTTACCTAAAAAAAACCCATCTTCTTAGGCTTAATTAATTATAGAATAGAGAAAAAAATAATTAAATATAAATAAAAATTTTCTCTTACCTTAAAAAGATTTTTGCAACAATTTATAAAATTCTTGAAGTATCCGGAAAAAATTCTTTGAATTTTTCTTCATTTTTCTGAAAAAAAAAAATTCACATAAATATTATTCTAATTTTTTGGCAATAAAATTGTTCCGATTTTTTTCAAAAATTTATTATTTTTTGTTAGTGCAAAATAAAGATAATTTAATGATTTGAAAAAAACTGCGTTAAAAGAGAATAATTACAATTATAGTAATTAATTTTTAATTTTAATTTTTAATTAAAATAATAATTAGCAAGATTATTTTAATTCTTTCGATTAATTTTTTTCTGTTAAAATATATAATAATAATAATAAAAAATTATTCTAATTCTAATTAATATATTAGAATGATACCATTAGTATAAATATTATCTAACAATGTGAGTCGAGTTTATGTTATATGAGAGAAATTGTAATAAATTTGATGATAACAAAGAAAATGTTGAAAATTCTAAACGCAGAAGATTGCAAAGATTCTTCCTTAAAAGTCGTAAAAGCTAAAATGTTGACGGTCTAAAACTGTTTTATAGATGCACAAAATTGCGTACTATCAAATGTTCAAGTTTTATTTGCCATTATTAAAAATAATCAAAATTCCACACATTAACAATTAAAAACTCACCAAAATGTTGAAAAAAAAACAATTTTTTTTCCAACGAAAAAACATTTTTTTTTAAACTAGAAAATAATTATTTAATAGAAGAAAATATTTTTTTATCTAGAAAATAAAATTATTTTATAAAAAAAAAAACATTTTTTTTAACTGGAAAATAATTATTTCAAAAAGAATATTAAAAAAAAAATACCATTTCTTGCAAAAAGGTAAAAGAATTTTTTATTATAATTATTACATTAAAAAAAAATTGAATAAATTTAATTGCAGAGAATTAAAATAAAATACTGTGAAATTAAATCTCTAAAAAAAAACAATTTAATTAAGAAAAAAAAATGTTACTGCAAAATTTAATTTACAAAGAAATAAAATTCACACTTTCATTACATGGAAAGTTACAGGAAAAAAAAAACGTACAAAAGTTTGTTTTTTTTTATATGAGAAAAAAAAGAGTTGACAACAATTTTTAAAAATAGGTCAATTGCGATTAGTTTTGTTAAAAGTGGACAAAAATTTCTATTGGTATTTTTCTGTAACAAATTTCGTTTTTTTTTTAATCCAAAAAAAGAATTAATTTTCTTTTTTAAAATATATATATATAAATCGAAAAAGTGAAAATTAAATGTATTTTTTGGAAAAAGCTTTTATTCACAATCACGAAATATTTTAAAATCCCATCGGTAATTTTTTTTTTTTTCATTTACATCGTAGATTTTCTTTTTTTCCCTTGGAAAATTTGATTAAAGTTTTCCTCTATCACCTGTTAAAGTAACGCGTCAGAAAAATAACTTATCTCACAACTTGTTTAATAAATTTCAAAAGGTCAATTTTTAAGTTAGTAAAAAATTTTTTTTTTAGATTTTTAAAATATTTTTAAACATATTTTTTTTTGTGTTTTATAGTTTTTATCGTAAAACTCGATGAGAACTCAAATTGACAAACTTTTCATAACTTATTAAAAGGAAGAAAAATTTAAGTATAAAAGTGAGAAAAAATTTTATATTTCTCTTTCTAATAAAATATATGAATAAAACTTGAATTTATAATTATAATTATTATTTTTATTATTATTGTTATTATAAATTTGAATTTTCTCCATTAGACTTAAGAAATACATAATAAACTATATATGGAAATGGACACATTTTCCGTGTATGCAAACTACGTATATATAGATTAATTATACATATGTACTGGTAATAATTTATTTCAATGTTAATCCTCTTTCCTGAATGTAAAATGCTCAAAGTTAATTACTTAACAAATAAAATGAAAACAGTCATTTTAATGAAATGTGATTGAAATAATTAATTTATTTGCATCCGCAAAGTTTTTAAAATGACTTTATTAAATTTGTAATTTGAAACGTTAATTTTATAATTTTTAATTATTTATTTATTTCATTTATTCAAAAAATCCAACAGTCAAAGACCAGGTACAGGATTATAGTAATTATATAAAAATAATCTAATCTATATAACGAATTGATTATAAAAAAATTTATTATTATTGTTATTATTATTATATTATAATATTATAATATTATTATAATATTATATTATTATTACCTAGAGAAAAAAATATATTTGTCTCAAAGCCAAATAAATTTTTATGCAAATAAAAATTAAATAAAATTTTTATTTTCGCCAAATAAAAAATTAAGTTTTTGAGACGAATATACGTTTATTTAACTCAAATATATTATATTTGTTTTAAAAATAATACTTAAAAAAAATATTCATAAGAATATAATAATAATATATTATTATAAAATAATAACATGAAAAAAAAATTATAATGATATATGATTAAAATAACAGCCTAAAAAAAATTCTAAATATAATAGTTTTTTTACAAAAATATCAACACATACAAAAAGCTTTGAAAATCAAGATAAGAAAAAAACTTTTTCTCACTTAAGATATTCAATGGAAAAAAATATTTTCTGTGTTTTTTTTTTTTTTTAAAGAAATAGTAGATAAATCAAAATATACTTTTTTTTTATTGAGATAAGGAGTATAAAAAGAATAGTGATTTCAATGTCGGATATATATAGTTTTTTGTGTGTGGTTTATAAAGTTTACTTTGTGGGAATAGAATAAATAAATCGTCACAGAAATAATATAAGTGGCACGAATCTCAAGGAACTATATATATAATGGAAATCAAACCGGAAACTTATCACAAATCATAGAAGCATTTTTGCACTCTTTTCCTTGTTAGTGCAAACACTACAATCAAGTCGATTGATCGAAAAACAAAAAAAAAAAAAAAGAAAAGAAAAAAAACACAAAATGTGTAACATATTTTTCCTCAAATTGAGAAATCAATGACACTCTAGAAATGAAACAAATGTAGGTAGGTGGGCAATCACTGTGTAAAAATTTTTCTGATTCAAAGAAAATTGCAAAAAGAAAATAAATAAATAAATGAAGCTCGAAATGAAAAATAATTTCCATAACAAAAATAAAAATTAAATTCAGTGCAAAAAAAAGAAGATATATTTTATATAAAATACACATGGATTAATTTCAAAAACATTTTTTAATATAGAAAAAAAAATTGAAAAAATATTAAAACAAAAAGGAAAATAAATTCAAACAAAAAAAATAACAAAAACTAAATTGAAACAAAAAAAATAACAAAAATTAAATTGAAACAAAAAATTAAAAAAATTAATTAAAACAAAAAATTAATTAAAATGAAAAATTAAAAAAATAAAATTTACAATAAATTAAAGAAAAAAAAATGTTTAAATATTGATTTCATTATATAAAAAATTGTTCCAATTTTCCTCGATTTAATTTTCAGTGTAGGCTTAAAAACGATAGAAAAAAAAAACGAGGTCATTGAACCCTTAAATCTTGGGAAAAATTTATAACAATAAAAAAAAATCGACTTTTAATTTCTTGTATAAAAAAAAGGGGGAAAAACGAAGAAAATAGGGAAAATATAGAGTGCTGAAAAAGACGAGCGATCAGGGGAAACGCAACTTTTTCCATGTAGACATTGAGGCGCCAGAACGTCCCAAATCCGAGCTACATGTTACTATGTGAATTGCTCTATTCCTCTTGCACCATCTTATACTCTTTTCTCTCTCTCTCTCATTTTTACTTTAAGATTCACGTTTCAAATTATTCACTCGAATAATAGTAAAAAAAAAAAAAAAATTTCACATTTATATTTCATCAAAAATTATGCATATATAATTTATGATTTTTCATTCTTTGTTTTTGCTAATAAAATAAAGAAAAATAAAAAAATTTTAATAAAAAAAAATATAAAAAAAATTAATTAATTATAATATTAATTAATATTATTTATTTATTTAGATAACAATCTCCGCCTTATAAAAAATAAAATAAAAGTACAATAAATTATATTAATTTAGTAATCAGTAGTATAAGACGGTTCAGGTCGGACATAACTTATTAATTGAAAAATTATCATTATTTACAGAATCAGTTGTGAACGTTAGTTTTAATCAGATTTAAATTTTTATAAATAATTTTAAAATCAGTAGAACAATACTGTTTTAGTCAGACAGAACGTTTATAAATAATAATAATAATGATAATAATAATAATAATAATAATAATAATATCAAAATCAGTAGTAAATTATTATTTTGGTTAGAAAATTTTTTTACAAATATTAAACTCGAAATAAGTAGTAAATAGCGGTTTTAGTCAGACGTAAATTTTATGAATGACATTAATATCGAAATAAGTAGTACAAGACAGTTTTAGTCAGGCATAAATTATTTATTAATTTATTGAAAAACTATGAATATTTTTCAATTTTTCAGTAGTAAAAGATAGTTTTAGTCAGACTTAATTTATTTAATAAAAAAATGATAATTTTTTCAAAATCAGTAGTAACAAGAAATTGTAGTCAGACACAACTTATTTATTGAAAAATATTTTGAAAATTTTTAAATTAAATTTTCCAGTAGTA